GTTGGTCTCAATTCCTGGGACTCGCTGACCACCTGCCTTGGCCTCTGTAAAATGCTGGATTAAGGCCAGGCATGGAGCCACGGCAGTGCCGGCCGACCGACCACATAAGATATATATATGATGGGGTTTCACCATGTTGGTCAGGCTGGTCTCAATCTCCTGACCTCGTGATCCACCTGCCTTGGCCTCTTAAAATGCTGGGATTACAGGCATGAGCCACCGTGCCTGGCCACCCCCACTATTTAAATAAAATGTTTACAAGCTAACAAAGTCTAAAGACTTTGTAAATAATGGTGACCTTGCAGTCCGGGCACGGTGGCCCCTGACTGGAATCCTAGCACTTGGGAGGCCAAGGAGGGAGGATCACTTGAGGCCAGGAGTTCAAGACCAGCCTGAGCAGCATGGTGAAACCCCATCTATACTAAAAATACAAAAATTAGCTAGGCATGGTGATGCAGACCAGTAGTCTCAGCTATTTGGGAGGTTGAGGTAGGAGATTCGTGACTCTTGATCCGCCACCTCGGCTCCCAGAGTGCTGGGATTACAGGTGAGCACAGAGCCCGGGCCTAACTATGGCTTCCACTTTATTCTTCAGCTTCAACTAACCGAGCACTTTGCAATCTTTTATTTATTTATTTATTTTTTCCATGCAAATACCCCAGATATCGAAGAAGAATATTTTGGCAATCCTAATATTAATTTTATAGAAATACCAAGTAATTAATGCGCTATTTTAAGGCTGTAAAGGCACTAAATTGCCTGACTAAAAACATTTCCAATTTTTCCCCATTTTATAATGTATGGTCTTTGCCCCTTTATCTTTTTTTTTTTTTGGAGAGGCAGTCTCGCTCGGTCGTCCACAGGGCCTGGAGTTGGCAGTGGGCCGGATCTCAGCGTCAACTGCAGCTCCGCTCCTGGGTTTACGCGCATTCGCTCGAGCCTGCCCCTCAGCCTCCCCCGAGTAGCTGGACTACAGCGCCGCCACGGCTCTTGCCCGGCTAGTTGTTCCTTGTATTTTTTTGGTAGAGACGGGTTCACCATGTTAC